TATATATAATGTTAATGTTGATAATAATAAAAAAGCGAATGCTAATTTCAAAATATTACTTTGTATATCCAAAATATTATCTATTTTATTTGGTAGATTGAAATGTACTAGTTTTCTATTTGCAATTAAAATTAAAAAATTATTGAAGTCTTTATCGAATAGTAATTGAAAAAAATATGGTAAAGCACTTGAATTCACAAGCTGTTTTACTGTTGCTAAACTTTCATTTAGAATAAATTTAATACGATATATAGCTGTCCAGATTCTTCTCTCCCCTCTGGATTTAATTTGAAGAAATAATTTCATTTTATATCCAACCCATCCACGAATGGATCTGAATGGTGCAGTAATGCCAAGAGGAATTCCAGAATCTTTTTTTTGTTTGATACTCATCTTTTGATTGCTATCTGGTGGTTCCTTTATGGCCAGTTAAAAAATAACTGTGTATGCATCATAAAGCTTTAAGAAATGACAAAACCTTTGAAGCTTAACTTTAGTATATACTTTTTCTATATTTTTATCAATGCTTTTCATATTTTTAAACCTTTTTTCACAGATTCTAATTTATTCCCAAAATCAATGTGAACATATTCTCTCTGCTTCATCCCAAACTTTAATTGTGGGCTGTCATATTTCAAATCATCACTATATTCAACATCAGGTTTGGAATTGAGAATCAATTTTGCAACAATTTTCCATCCTGAAGCTATTTTATTATAAATATAAGTTAAATTATATAAATTAGATCTAATAATAAATATTTACCTATTTCAATATCTGCTTGTTTATTATCATCATCTGTCAGGTCTTCGTCATTATCTATTAGGTTTTCATCATCATTATGTGCCAAGCTATTATTTGCTGCCAAGAATTTTTTCTCTTTTGTTGTGATATTTTTTTTTACTCATTTCACTTTCTTTCTCCCAATCTCTGGCTTTTTGAGTGATACTCATTTTTTTACTCTTGTTCAAAGAAATTATAGGTTGTACTTCAAAGGAGCCTTAAATAAAATCTTATTAATGAATTATCTTTTAATATATTAAATTAATTTACTATAATTATGTTAGTAATTACCAAAAGTATTTTCAGCCTTTTCTTTTCATAGTTTTACAGGGTATTCATCTGCAAATGCCCAATTTTGTAAAGAGATGATCCATTCTAAGTATTTGCTTTTTTGTGTTTTTTCAGGAATCTTTAGGATTTCATCACACCCGAAAATAGACTCAAGTCGCGTATTTATATTTTTCAGATTATTGTATGATTTTTACCTCCCATCTCATCCAATATTTTATCTAATACGGAGCTGTTTGTTTCATTATTCTTATCTGCTTGAATACAAATTTGCTGCATTAATGATTAAAACAGTTTATTAACTCATATTTTATAGGTCTAAAAATTAGTGCTAATAATATAACATCCTTTCTTGCTTTAATTTTTCAAGTTCGGATTGGGTTTTCTAGATTTACTAAAGTGCTAAGTGTCATGCAATAGTGCACTTATGTGGTCTTTTGGTCAGTTTCCATTTAGGTTTTGCACTCACTTGGTACTGGCGTATCGTACCAAGTCTTTCACCAATATTATTACGATGTTGACCACAGTTTTTCCTTTAGAACGTTTTCACTAAGCTAAAAACTTATTATTTATTATTATTATTAGAGATCATTAAATTTAAATACAAGATTATCTCTGGATATATTATTACCCGGGTTACACACATTATGCAATTCTACAATTAGACTTTAAATTAATTTCATGC